TCAACAACGTCATCGTTGTTGCAGGGTTGCCACGGTGCCCAGGGCCCGAAGCCGCCGTCGATGGTCTGGTTCCGCAGCTGGAAAACACACATCGGTCATAAGTCACAGGAAGCAGACAGACCGTCCTTACCAAAATAAAGGGGTAAATGGAAATAAAAGCACTACAATTCACTTCCTTCTGCCAACTTAAACTTAAATCCCTTTGATTTCAGTAGTTTAAGCTTAGTCAAATTCACCTTCTTTACTTCCTCTGCTTTATCCTATAACCTGCACTTGAGCCAGCTCTTTTAGCGGACACACGAATGGTATCATCCACTATTGAATGTGAAAAAAAAAGATGACATTAACAAAGTGCCTGCAGTACGTCTTACACCCCCGCTGTGAGAAGAAGTCAGGCCGCCTTGGCCTTTTCTTACAGGAAAACGAGGCCGTGATGTCACTCTTACCGGACAAACGGTGATGTTCTGCTTCCACTGGCTCATGTTGGAACTGTCCTCCAACGTGGTGCATCTGCGCTGCCTAAAGTCCCAGCCGCAGTAAGGGTCCCTCGCCTCCAAGCACAGTCTGCGCGGAGAGGAAGAAGGAGTTTTCAGCACAGTGAATAACTGTATGGATCAAGGTTATTATCGTTAACGAAAACTAACGAAATAAGAAGTGAAAAAACATTTTCGTTAACGGAAATAAAAATAAAAACAAAAAAAGAAAACTAACTAAAACTGTAATGAGTGTTCACAAAACTAACTAAAATTAACTGAATTTACAGCAAAAATGTGTTTAGTTTTCATTGATGTGTGCGTGTCATACAAGAGTCAAGGGTGAAAATGAAGTTTAGTTTCCAGATTTTTTTCTTGCTGTGTCTCATTATGCCAGCAGGTGGCAGCACGTTAGTCGAGTCGTCTGTGTTGCTGCTCCGTCCAGTGATGCCAACTCCTCAGTAAGAAAAATCGCTATTGGTTGTCCTAAAAGTCGCTAGAAGTCACTAAATGACGTCATCGCCTAATTTGCATAATTGGTCATGCTAATATAATTGTAACCTACTTTGTTGGAGAGAGAAATAACATCGTGGAAGAGACATAAAGTGAGTAAAAAACGTCCTA